TTACTTAACAATATTGCTTACACATGCAAGTTTCCATTACTATCTAATCTCCAAATACGTGCAAAACTCATATTTCGCAATTACAAGAAAACGAAACAATCAATCAATAAGTGATATAAATTAAGATCCAATGGTTCAACAAACGTAATTAAGACACTCATCACAAACTGATATAATGGAATAAATATAAAAATGGTTTGAGTAACTTGAATAGACAAGAAAAGCAAGTAAAAAAAATAAATTAAAGTACACAAAGTAATGGTAAGCAATTAAGGTGATATAACAACAAATAGACAACACGGATAAGGTAGGGACAATTATACACTGACCGGTTACTGGTTCCATCGATAATCTGTATTTAATTAATCAATGGCTCACCAACCATATATAATTATTTATTTATTTTTAATTTGACTTTAATTTAACCGTAATGGGAGAAATGGTGAGGGATTCTTATCCCAAGTCAATGTCCATAACACCACCTTTTTCACTACACCTCCTGATAGTTTTCGGTTCTTGAATTTCTTAGATTTTTCTGCTAAAACCAAAACATACGTCAAATAATGTGGAAATACGTAAAAAAAAAGCCAAAAAGGGCCAAAAGTCTCATTGGGGGCCAGTTTAGGGTTCCAACACGGTTGTGCCGCCGTGCTTCACCGTTGGTTCTGCCTTTTACGATGGCTCCTCCTCTTAGTCAGGCTGGTTTCAGCTGATTTTAGGCAAAAACCTGCTCAATTTGTGGTTAAGCAGCATCTGTTGGTGAAAAAATGAAGAAAACTGAAGCTTACTAATGGTTATAGCTCTCCAATGCGGTGGCTCTGCTGAGCTCCGCCGCTTCTTCCTCACGATCGCGAATTTTCTTCAGCTACCTTGCATTGAAAAACATGTTAGATGACCTAGGGTTAAGAAATGGAAAGAACAAAAAAAGGGTTCGGGCTCACTTGAGTGTTTTTTGATTTCGAGCGTGGTGGCTCAGCCGAGCTCTACTCTCCATTTCTAACCTTCCCTCAGGTTTTCCTGAATCAAGAAGGATTTTGGGTAATTTAGAATGAAAAAACGGGACGAACGGGAGAAAAATAACACTTACTAGCGGCGATTTGGGTCTCCAGTGCAGCGGCGATGGGGACTGGCTTCTCCTTCGGTGACTGGTTCATTTTCTAGCTGAACTTCTTCTTCTTTTCTTATGGTCTTAGCGGCTAGGGTTTTGGGGAGCCCGGGTAGAGAGGTTTAAATACCTCTTTGCCTTTGATCTGGGCCGTCCGTGTAGGGACACATGGAGCAGTGAAGGCCGTCCGATCGCACCTAATGGGGGAACTGATCTACATTGTCCAATTAGAGACACACAGACCATTTGATCAAGCTTATTCAGGGAATCAATCTCGACTGTTCACGCGCGCGGGAATGGCCATGAGCCGTTCGATCGGCCTGGCACGCAGATCGCCTACGTGGCTTCCAGCGTGGAACCGTGCTAGCGTGTCTATCACATGGCACACGATAATTTGTCGTGCTGCTGACGTGGCCGTCCTACATGGTCGCATTTTTCTTTTTTATGATTTGGGATGTGTTTATCAATTTTTCTTTCAAATATACCCTCCCCTTATTTACAATTTGTCTTTGACTTTTGAAAATTTTTTCAAATACGTCCAAAATGTATATAACTAAAAATTCTAAAAAAATCAAAGTTAACAATTTTAATAATTATTATTTAGAATAAATTTTGTCATCCCGAGCCTAAATTCCGGGCTTGGGGTGTTACATTTGCACCCCCTCAATTTTTGTCATCTTCTTCCTTTGATCCTCACTTTTCCTTTGAGTATTAATCTTATAAATCACCAAATCTGTAATTGCAAGGTGAATGTTCAATTAGTTGGAGGAAGAACCAATAATTTAGTAAGCACTTATTCTGATTTTGTGAGCCCTATAAAATATATTGTAAAGAATAACTCTATTAACAATAGTTGTCCTTAAAAATACCAAAAGAACATTACAAAGAAAATAACATGAAACTTACTAAATCAGTTGTAAGAAGAAGAGTACTATTAAAACTTATTATCCTTGAAGATACCAAAAAACTACTGTAAAGAAAATTAACATGAAACTCTTCTTGACATTAGTAGAAAACCAACCATAATTACTTTTTTTTCATTTGCCTTTTCTTTACCCCTTTGTTCTCTAAGGGAAGATTTCAATAATTTCTTCATCCATTCTGGGTACCATGGATGCCAAAGTGAGAAGATTACATTGTCCTCTCTTTAATTTTAAGGATGACAATGGGAAGGAATAAAAATGAGATGACCAGGAGATGAAATGATATATGAGATTTGAGTACTTCTGAGATTAGGGTTTGAATGAAGAATTAGGCTCAAAGGAAAAAGATGGCAAGAATCAAAGGACATAAATGAAATTTGAAAATTTGATCTGACTTTACAACTACATCATATATTAAATCACCACTTATTTGTCCTAATTTTCATATATAAGTTGTCATGCATCTGATACTTAACGATTTATAAATGATAGTTAAATATGAGAGTAGATTCAATAAATATTTAAAATTAGATTACTAAAATAAAAAAAGAAAAAAAGTGCTAGGAACTTATATGAGAAAAAATCAAGAAGTCACTTATTTGAAACTTAACTGTCCATAAACGACAATTAAGAGTAAACTTAGATTTAGTAAAAATTTAAATATATATAATTAAAATAGACAGAAAAAAATCTAGAAACTTAGAAGGAAAAAAATTAAATAGTATATTAGCTTGTAGGATAGTTTAGTCCGTTAAATCTATTACTCACTTCAATTTGTTTCCTGTTAAATTTGTTACTCACTTCAATCTCTTTCGAATTTGTGACTTTCTATCTAGATTTGCTTATAATTTGTTAAGTGTAGCCCCATTAGGAACAAAAAGCCAAAATGCTTTGCCCATCCATGCAACTAGCTGCCATCTATTCTTCCCAAACTGCAAAACGGCATCGTTTCAAGCGGATCATGCTAACTCCGATGTGTTAGGGTTTACATAGACGAGAGAGGGAAGGTCACTTTCTGGACTGAGAGATCACAGAGCTCAGCAGGGGCAATTCAGGACAGAGGGAGGAAGCTCACAA